GCCACTACGGACGGACCCATACTACCTCCCCCCCCAAAAATCCTTTGGGAGAATATCGTCTTTAGAGGCCATCCGTAGGCCTATCTCGGGAACTGTGGCCCTCCCTGGGCTTGACTTGGGGACTGGAGCCCTCCTTGGGCTCGACATGGGAACTGGAGTTCTTTCTGTGCTACACTCGGGGACTGGAGCCTTCTCTGGGCTAAACTCGGGATCAGGAGCCCTCACTGGGCTGAACTCGGGGACAGGAACCCTCACTGGGCTAAACTCGGGGACAGGAGCCCTTGTGGGCTTTACTCGGGAACTGGAGCCCTCCGTTGGCTATACTCGGGAACAGGAGCCCACTCTGGGCTGGTTTCAGGGACTGGGAAGCGCTTACGAGGCGCTGGCACTGGAGGGCGCTCTGGAGGAGCAGGCACAGCAAGGCGCTTTCGAGGAGCAGGCACTGGAGCGAACTCAGGGGCTGGAGCCGACACTGGAGCGCGCCTAGGGATGGGCGGCCGGTGGGCTTGTGTGAGCCGCAGCCGGCAGGCTGGAGAGAGCCGCTGGTTCTGGCTCGGGGCCGGACACTCTCCAGACACTGGAGGATTCCTTCCCTCCAGTTTAGTCCCGTTGTGTCTGGGAGGTCCATGGGGCGATGGTAATTGGCCCCGTGCCAGAACAGCAAGTTGAGGGTGGAGTCATCCAAAGCCGTAGCCGCGGCGAGCCTGCAGAACTCCCAGGAATACTCAATGAAGGGGAGATCCAGACGAGCTAGGGCGGTGAACCGAGCGGCAACTTCCATTGCCGCAGAGGAAAGCAGGGAAACAAAAAACTTTTCAAAAAAACGGAAAAATAAAAACGGGGAGAAGGGGCGCCGCTTACTTTTTGTTTTAGGTCGGCTGTTCTGTCACGTTTCACGGGGAGGAAGGATCGAGGAGACGCAGGAGAATACTTCAACACGGAATTTAATAGAACAAGCAACGGGGTAATCACAGGAACTCAAGGAAGACATATAACAGCCGACCCAGACTCAGGGAAACACAGGGTTTAAATGCTAGGGGCAAATGATATAATTGATCAGACACAGCTGGAACCAAATAAACATAATGAGGACAGGAACAGGAAGACCAAAAATGGGCATAAGAGGGAGGGAATCACAGGGCACAGGAACACAAGACTGACAGCTATTCAATATTAAATTTAAAGTAATTAATGTACTAAACTTCATCATTACAAATGTTTAATTACAAATATATTTAAATACATCATATATATATATATATACAGTGGGTACGGAAAGTATTCAGACCCCCTTAAATTTTTCATATGTTTTCATTTAATTGCTGTACATTATATATACATACAATATATTTTCATTTAAATGCACTCAATTTTAAGTGTCCGAAAACATTAAATTCAAAGCACACTTAAGTATATTCTTTTAAAGTATATTAATTCTGCAATAAGTACTCTTTTAAAAAGTATGATAAAGTGTACTTCTGTTTCACAAGAGTTCTAAAAGAATCTGTATTAGTATGTGTGTATTTTATTACTCACCATTTCCAGTAGAGTTCTAGTAATTCTCTGTGTATTTGTGTTTTAGCATGAGCTGATCTACCACACGTTTGGCCGTCAGCATTTCAAGAAGACCACGGCTAATCTGGATCTGTTCCTGCGGCGCTTTAATGAGGTTCAGCTGTGGGTGGTCACAGAGGTTTGTTTGTGTCCCACGCTCAGCAAACGCGTCCAACTGCTCAAGAAGTTCATCAAGATCGCAGCGCAGTGAGTCTTTACTCATAAACATGTGACGTGTGTGTGTGTGTGTGTGATGAGTCATTTTGTTCAGTGGAGTGTTAATGATATTAATGTACTGTATGTACACATCTCCTCCCTTGTGAAAAAAAGTACACTTCAGCATACTTTTTAAGTGCATATTTTTTAGTACTTATTACGGAAATAATACTGTAAAATAATATACTTAAGTGCAAACTGAATGTAATGTTTTTGGACACCTAATTGCATGTTAATTACAACTAGATAAAAAAGTGGTTACACTTTATTTTAAGGTGTCCTTGTTACAGTGTAATTATGAATATAAGTACTGAGTAATTTTAATTAACTACATGTACTTACTAAATGGTTAGGGTTTGGCTTAGGGTTACTTGCATGTAATTATGTATAATTAATTGTTATTATAATTGATGAGTCATTTTGTTCAGTGGAGTGTTAATGATATTAATGTACTGTATGTACACATCTCCTCCCTTGTGAAAAAAAGTACACTTCAGCATACTTTTTAAGTGCATATTTTTTAGTACTTATTACGGAAATAATACTGTAAAATAATATACTTAAGTGCAAACTGAATGTAATGTTTTTGGACACCTAATTGCATGTTAATTACAACTAGATAAAAAAGTGGTTACACTTTATTTTAAGGTGTCCTTGTTACAGTGTAATTATGAATATAAGTACTGAGTAGTATTAATTAACTACATGTACTTACTATATGGTTAGGGCTTGGCTTAGGGTTACTTGCATGTAATTATGTATAATTAATTGTTATTATAATAGTAAGTACATGTAAC